CAAACGCGGACTGCGATTCCAAGAATTGCATTTACCGGATACCCTGCGAGTGCGGAGAATCATACATCGGTGAAACTAAGAGGCCATTGAAAGTTCGCATTTCTGAGCACAAGAAACACACAAAGCGAGGAGAAACCAGCAAATCCGGAATAGCAGAGCATGTTTGGACTCATCAACACAACATCAAGTGGGCTCAAGCTGAAATCATTCACGAAGAGGAACACTAGTTTAGGAGAAATTTCAAAGAAGCCGCGTATATGTTGTCCAACAACGCATTCAGTCAAATTAGCGTAGAGATACGTAACATATGGAAACCTCTAATCAAGCGAAAAACGACCAAATCCCGCCAAACGGTCATCTCCCGCCAAAACCAATGAATCGGAAAGAGGGAAAAGGTGATAGGTGAAAGCACTCGAATGACCTATAAATAGTCAGATCTCAGAGGAATAAGTCCAGTTATCACCCTAATATGATTGTGGATAATAAAAATTGGAACGTTGTGACATAACTTAGTTTGAAATCTTTTTATTTATTCATTTTTTGTTAGTAATATTTTAAATTTTTCAATTTTTTCGGATTTTATTAATATTTCAATATATATTTGTATGGTTGTTGCTTGTATGTTATTTCTTCGTAATTTCAGTTTTTTGTTTAATAAAATTGTTATTTTCGGTTAATTTTTTTGATTTTTTTCAGGGTTATCAAATCAATTTATATTATATTAGACAATGGAAGTCCGAACTGATTCAAATTCTATTTTTGGTAATATATTATCGTTTTTTCAGCTAAAATTTTTAAAGAGGTTCGGATATGTTCAGGAAGATAATGGTGAATCTGAGGCTCTTTATACCGAGGAAGGAATTTCCGATATTATCAAAACTATGCAGAGATTTGGAGCAATTGAAGAAACTGGAGTGTTTGATAATGCCACACTCAAGGTAAGAAATATGAATCGGAAAGAAAAACTATCATATCTGACAGTAGGTAAGTTTTTGTCTCAGCGAAGCTCCAGCTTGCATGTCTTCATTTGCCTTGATATGCGTGAATGATATCATGACATTTATTTTATCCATATAAAAGGTCTTCCAACAAGGACTTTCATACTTTGACGATTGATAACGGTTTCTTTGTTGAAGCTACGCCTGTCAAATTAGTTTTCATTTACTTAGTCCGTTCTGCCATAATTTGTGGAACATCAACGATGTTATGTACCACAAATAATGGCATCAATAGGTGATTCAAACGAATGAAAAATTTCGATGATATACTACGCACACATACTGTTTCATTTTAATTTAACGGTAGAAAGCTCTTAATGAAAGATCTTATAGACCCTAATGTGATAAGATACCCTGTCTGTGTCGGGTATATAACCTTCTGCAGTAGGAAAAATCAAAAACTCCTCCACTAAAACCTTCTTTCCAAAAGTATATCTACATATACAGTACATTTCTTCAATGTGCCATCGCCCTTTCATATTTTGAATGGGTCAACTCCAAAAATTGAAATTTGGTATAATGAAATTATTGTTGGTATTGTATACCAGTGAGGATGAGTGTTCCATGAAAGTGCAATTTGTTACCATTCACTTAAAGTGGAACTCATGTGAATGATATTTGATTTTAATTCCACAACGAATGTTTGAAATACAAACTGAGTGGAGAAAAGTATCTTCTCTATAATTCAGTGTTCATATATAAGTATTTGTTTCGAAAGAACTTTTTTTTTTCGTGTAATTCAATGTTTATAAGAAAGTAGCTGTTTCAGGAGGACTTTCTTTCAGTTTGTGTCTTAAAGTTACTTCTTTGCATGATCTACACATCCATGTACTCATTTTCAAATTTAATACTTCCTTCCTTTCTTTGGAAGATTCCCTCATCTTTTTTTGTATCGAGATGGAGTAGTAGAAAGTCAAAAACTTCCTTTCCCAAAAATTAATCACTCCTAAATTCAATGTTTACTCAATTCAAATATGTATCCCGTACTGAGCTCCTCAAACTCCAAAAAAATGAGCATGGTATTTCCAAATAATCTTCCGCAAACATTGAACATGATGCCATGAATTCCATCAAATAGTCTTTATTGTTTTAAGCTGATGTCATCCCCTCGATGTGGAGTTCCAGACATCATCAGATCATCTCGCCAAAAGAGATTTGTTTTGGGTCCAAGTGGATGGGAAAAAAGAAACCTGACTTATTAGTAAGTACCACTTTCAATTCTCCACCTCAACAAAGTATTTTCGATATCATGGAAAGTCATTATTTATAATTGCTTGCAGTTTGGCCAACTGGTCGCCAAAATTGGGTGAAGACATGATAGTGAAAAACATTCAGAAGGCCCTCGATATTTGGGCTGATTATGGCAGGCTTCACTTTCGACGAGTTTTGAATCCCGATGCTGATATCATTGTAGCTTTTGGAAGCGGATACCACGGAGATATGTGAGTATTTCCATGAATATGTAACAGTTTCTTGTTGGGTAAGTATGTAAAATCTCATAACTCAGACCTTCGGACCAATCACAGATGAGAAGCTTTATAACTTTACAGTAGACATGATGACAGTGAGTAAAAATCACCGAAATAATGTATTTATTCAATGAAACCCTATTAGTGAGTTGCGAAACACGCATATAGTGTATTATTATGAACTAGAATGATAATATTTCGACAAAATAAAACTACAAAATACCGCAAGCCGCCATGATCTCTCAAACGCCTATCAGAGCGAATTACGTCACGTTAGAGTAAACAAATGAATATGACATCTTGTATTAAAACAACAGAGTAATACTCGACGCTAGTTTTTTCTGAGTTCCCTTTCGACTTGATATTGTATTCAGCAACTGTTTTCTTTTGTTGTGTTATTAAATCAAAAGTTAAAGAATGTGAGCCGTGGAACCAGTATTTACAAAGGCAAACAGCTTTAATGAGCCGCTAATCGACTTGTTGATGCTAGAAGATTCTTGAAGTATAATATTAGAGATTATTAAATTGAAATGGTATTTCTAAAACTAAAACGTACTCACCATACATACATTGATTCATTAATTTTATCTGTGCACACTAAAAGTCAACATAACAAGAGTGAAAGATACGAGAGATGAAACCTAACCTCAAAAAAGGTTTGTTCATTATTGAATTCAAACCTCAACCAAGATAATACTGGTCTGTACTCTACAAATTGAGCTGAATACTTACGTCAAACTAATCTTCATAAAAGTAAATCTGAGTACTGGGCAATATTCTCGTTGAATCTCATTTTGTAAGTTCAAGCCACTTATTTCGTGTTTTTTTCATGCGGAACATACACAAATATCTTGTTCGGAGTTTTTATTGATGTATTATTACAATGAGAGACCTTCTAGCGTCTACATGTAGTCTACTCGAACGTGACGTCACAAGCGACGGCTTGATACTTTGAAGTGTTTTGTTGCGAATTTCGAACTTTTTATACTTTACTTTTTTGTGGAAATATGATCTATGTTGTAATTACAACATATTTCTCAATACTTCAGAACAGTATTTCATAATCTGTCATACCTATTGTGCTCCAATTATTTTCAATTGTAAGTAAATCTTGAAAATTCACTAAATTCAAAACTAGATCACTGAAGTGACAGTTCGTTTTGAAATATATAGTTTCTGAAGAAAAACAAGAACGAAGGAAAATGGAAACAGTAGTTTATTGTCATACTGATTTATATACCTCTTCGTGAAGTAGTTGGTAGAACATAAAACTAGAAAATCAAAGCTCTAGATTCAAATTAAACTGATGCATGGAGATTTATGTTTCATTTTGCTACCTATGTATAGTTCCTTTTTATTACACGCTTTATATTAGTTTCACCTGTATGTATGTATGTATGTATGTTTGTAACTCTCCTCTTAATTTCATATCGGGATCTGTATGTGAAAGAATTATTGACATTATTGCTTGATGTTTTCGCGGGCAGATGGCGCTGTATGTAACCTCCTTGATATAATTCGAACTCACTTCACATGTATTTCTTCATTTGAAAAAAGTTTTTTTTTTCATTAACACGCGCGCTTGCTGCCTTATCTTTAACCCTCCTTTGCGCGCCTGCTGCCTTGGGCATTTTTCTAAACAATAGCATTTTATACTTTAGACGATTTTATTCAAAAGTGTGGCTGATTCATTTTCATCTATGTAGTATGCATTATATGTACTGTTTTTAATATGTATCCATCCAATATGTTTTAACTTTTGTGTGAAATTGACTATTGTTAATGTGTTCGTACTTGTTGTTTGTTTTTCATTTTTTTTACATATCTCATGTTGTAAGAACAACCTAAAGAGACAAATATATTATCTATCTATCTATCTATCTAATGTACGGCTGATTGATCCCAAAGTTTAGATAAAATAAATATAGTTTTAAAACACTAAAAAGACTAAAAATATTTTTAACTTTTCAGTTCGATGTTCTTTAAAAGCGTTTTTTTTTAGTTTTTCAAACTATATTTACTTTTCATCAGTTTATTTTGTAAATGCTAATCAACTGTTAGTAGATAATTACTAAATTTTTCAATGTCCATATTTCAACCTCAGTATTTTTCAGTTTCCCCTTCGATGGTCCTGGAAACATCCTGGCCCACGCCTTCTTTCCCAGCACCCACGACCCCATGGGGGGTGACATCCACTTCGATGACGATGAAATGTGGGTTGATGGAATCGAAAATAAGGAAGGGACACAATTTTTCGCCGTAGCACTGCACGAGCTTGGTCATTCTTTAGGTCTTGCTCACACTCCAGTGGAGTCTTCGGTGATGTTCCCTTACTACAAACTCCCGGAGTCTGGGGGGACGCCTCAGTTGGGGTACGATGATATTTTGGGGATGTATGATCTGTATAGTAAGTATACGAATGTAGGCTTTTACGGCTGGTGACAATGTTTTGATTGGCTTCCGGATTTGGCCGTGGTTTTCTTTGGTTATGGTCTCCAAACGTTTCAACTGCAACTGCGACAGTCNAAACGTTTCGACTGCAACTGCGACAGTCATCTTCAGTGGCCTGGTGGAAGTACTCTTCTTAACGTGCCAACTGAAACTGAAGCTCTCATTTCTGCCATCACATCTGTTATCACACATGGTTCTGGAGAGGCTAGATGGACTGTATACAGACTTGTGCACATTGCCAATTGCACAAATTAATTTAATGCAGAGTGCACCAGACTGTTGGTTGATACTGGAAGTCACAGCATTCTGGAAATGACCTCTGGCTTTATGTCGCCAACTGTCAACTACGAACTGCCTTATAAAGTACTTATCCCCGAGAAGAGAGGATCCTCCGGGAGAAGGAAATATTGAGAGCAGATAGTTGTTGGTTCACAGATGGATCAAAACCCCTTCCCGGTTCTGGTTCAGGTGTTTTTAGTCGCAGACCCAGGACAGAGATATCTGCCTGCCTAGGTACTTATGCGACTGTACTTCAAGTGGAAATTTACGCTGTTGAATTGTGTGCAAAGAGATTGGATGAATCCAACCTCATACACATGTCAATAAAAATATTCTCGACAGTCAAACGGCGTCGGAAGATATTGGCTCCTACGGAGCAACGTCTAAACTGGTAGCAAATTGGCAAAAATGACTCTCCTCGATAGAAAATCTTAACAGATTGTCTCTGGCCTGGACTCCTGGCCATACTGGCCTGGAAGGCAATGAAGCTGTTGACTCCCTTGCAAAGGAGGTTGCTACAAGCAGCTTCATGGGACCAGAACCTGCATATGGCGTAGATTCCGATTCCTCACGGGTTTCGAGTAACTTTGATTGCAATAAAAATTCGCGATTTTGGAAAGAACAAAAAATTATTGTTGGAAAGTGAAGGGCATTTTGACAACATTTTGTTCAAAAGTAAGTAGTAGGGTTGTTGAAACGTATAAGCGTTTGTTTTTCCCTAAAACACAGATTTTTTGTTAAAATTGAGTTTACGCGAAAACCGCGAGGAATAGAAGGCACAACACCACCAACAATATAGCTCCGGATATACCGGATATCTGTGACGGCCGTCTTGATGCTGTAGCAACTCTGCGAGATGAGCTTTTTGTTTTCAGAGGACAAGTAAGTATAGCTTGTCAAAACTAGGAAGAGACTTGAGAATTCCATCTCTCTCTCTCACTCACACACAGTTCCGTAACGAACGGGCAGCTTAGAGGTGGTCATAAGCCGAGACTTTGAAGTCGCTTCCTAAATTTGACATGTTGTAGTTTTCCATCATTTTTGAGAGAATATAATGGTGGATCATTGATACCAAGCCAACTAGAAATGTTTGGTAGAGATAAATATTCAACACCTCACACTAGGACAAAAACATGCAAAACTAGCTCCTTTCTCTGTAATTGAAAAAAATATTTCAAAACAAATGAGTATACTTTGATCCAAGGACGAATGTCGATGTCGTTCGACAGTCAATGTCTAAGCACAGTTGTTGAAATACCCAGTAGCCCCCTATCACACTTTTTGGTTAAGAATCATAGCGCGCATGAACGAATCATTACGGTTTACTTTTTGGATAGTTTTTGGAAAATATATAATTTGTATCTGCTACAAATATACCTCTTGAATTTTGTTTTACTGTCGAGCAGTTTGCAATGTATTATTCACTTGTTGACCAGTGTATGAAATGTCAAACGCTGGCAAGTCCACTCGGGGCGGATAATTATGGAAGCGCAGTAGTCCTAAAAAATGTATACTGTGAGAATCAAAGGTTCGACAAGAGTGACACTACTGGTTTTAGCTGTACTGTGATCGAAGTTGGCTTTGCAACTGACCGCCTTGGAGAGCCTCGTGCATCTTTTGTTATTCGGGGATTGGGTAGTCCTCTGTCAATATAGATGGCGTCTTCGTGAGGGGAGATGTCATCGCCCAGGCTTGTTCTCTGAGGACATTTTATTCCTTCAATGCATTTATGGTTCATCTTATCACCACTGATGAGACCAATGGCGGGTCGCAAGAGCGTTGTCTTGGTTTGGATCACGATGCTTAGTTTTTGTGCTCTGGTTTCAATTATCATAATCTTACAGATGTTTCATGGTTAACACTATTCTTCGATTAATTCATTTATCATTTTCAGTATGTTTGGCGCTATAAAGAAAAGAGAAGATTGGAAAAAGGTTATCCTGTGAAACTGCATGACATGTTCCCCAAATTACCGAAATCGATAACAAAAATCGATGCCGCCTACCAGAGGCCTGATGGCATGATCGTCATATTCACAGGTGCGTTCCAAATACTATTATCACCTTACCCTAAAAACAAGTCTTATCAATTTATAAGAAAATTAATCTTTCGAAACATTCACATCTCCCAACTTACTACACAGTAGGTTTCGGTAAATGTCTGCCGAAAAATAACTACTTTCCCGGCTAATACCACGCTGGACATTGAATTATATCCGACAGGCATGCAAGATACCTCACAGTCTTGCAGATGTTTCTCATTCATCTAGCAGCAGGACCATGCTGAAATTATTAGAGTAGAACACCTACAGGCCGATTTCAAGGTATTACCTCTCATCAGTGCAGGACCGAACAGCATTTTGCCTGAGACTTGATTGATTTCACCCCGACCCAACTGCATATATGAAACATTCGTCTAAGAGGAAGATTGTTAACTTGTAACAACTCCATCTCGTGAACAAAGTCCCAAACGGCAGAGAAACATCCCATGTATCAAGACTTGACAGAAATAAAAACAAGTCTGGAGACTGTATCTATCAGGAGAGGGAAGTATTTCTCAAAACCTGCGAGGCTCACCTTTGTGAGGTATCTTGCATAAATGTCTGTCGGATATAATTCAATGTCCAGCTTGGTATTAGCCGGGAAGGTAGTTGTTTCTTGGCAGGCATTTACCAGAAACTACGTTGTAGGTGAGTTCCAATTTCAATTCGAAATATTTTTTCTCATATGTATGTATGTCTCCTCGATACACTGTGACATCTACGGGTATATAGCTGAGTCACCAAATTAGAAACAAATCCCTTTAAAAATTGTAACCCAACAGTTGAAACAACAATTTGAACACTTTTCGAAGTGAATTTAAAAAACTCATGAATTAAACTCAACTTTATTTTGTTCAAACTTTCCTTTGCTGTAATATATCCCAAATTGAGGAACATTCCCCATTCCTTGATAATTTATTTTGAACACTCTCGATCAAATCGATATTTACATTATAGTATGTAACCATGTAACCGAACAATATTCAAGAATGGATCTTACAAAAGCACAATATAAAATCTTTTTTGTTTTAATTGAAAAATCAGTATTGCTTTATTTTCCATTATTAAGTAAGTTGAATAAATATGCCCCTGCATACAGAAGTGATTTTTTGAGATGTGATCTGAGTATGAGATGTGATCTGAGTATGAGATGTAAGTGAAAGTCATTTTTCTTTCTCGTCGTATCTGTCGTACTCACTGTTTTTGTTAAGTTTTCCTTTATTTAAAAAGGTATACGTCAGTAATTTATACAAATAAATAGATGTGAATATTAAAATATTGTTATTTGTGAAGGTGTTCCTACACGGTTATCTGTAGTCTAAATTATATATCATTCTGATGAACTTTTTTTGTATTCCAAAGACTCTGGATGTTTCTGTGGACCTTCCCCATACTATGATGTTGCAGCTGATGGTGCTATATACCAGTGCATAATATAAATTAATCAAGTAAGGTCTATGAAAATTTGACTTGAGTGTATAGAAAGCATAATATAGTTTATTTAGTTTTTTGCAAATAGAATCTATTTGGTTGTTAAATGAGAACTTGTAGTCTAGTTCCATACCTAAGTATCGTGCTGACTCTGATGTGTTTATTTCAATATCATNCAAACGTCTAAATTTCGAAAGCAATGGAATTCGGAAATGAGGTATTTGAGAAAAAAAAAGTTGAGAATTATGAGCAGATTTTGAGAATCAAATAATATACCAGGAGTTCTATGTGAAAAAAGAATCCAAGATGGCCCTAGGCCGTCATTTTGAAACTTTAAGCTGTCGTGTTCCATAAAAAAGTAGCTCGTCTCCTGTTTAAACCTTCCAAATTTCGTTGACATATATCAGATGGTTGGAAAATTAATAAAGGAAGAACGAACTTCTGATGTGTACTGTATAATTGACACTTCACTTATCATTCAATCCACTGCCAATTCATTTTCTTCATCCCAGGTCAGAATAATGTCAAAACAAGCACTATTCCCAACCATCACAAATGCAATAGCGTTTTCACACACTCTAATGAGTGACTTTTTTGCTGGTATCTTTTTGGCAAAACTGTTTTTGACAGATCACGCGTGAATCGTGTCTTGCGTCATTGTCAAATTTGTTCAGTTTTGTCTATAATTTAACCACGAATTGACTTACGAATGAGCAACGCTTGCAAATTATTGAATTTTATCATCAAAATTCATACTCGGTGAAGAAAGTGCATCGTGCATTTCTTCCTATTTATAGGCAGTTTCGTCGGCCTACTGAAGGAGCTATTCGGAAGCGTGTGACTAAATTTCGAACCCAGTTTACATTATTGGACATTAAACCACCAACACGCATACATAGTGTGAGGACCGAAGAAAATATTGCGGCTGTATCCGCCAGTGTTCGTGATGACCTTGAAATGTCGATTCGCCGCCATTCCCCATTCCACTACGTGGAAAATTTTGCGAAACGATTTGGGTGTAAAACCTTATTAGATACAGGTGGTGCAAGAATTGAAGCCACACGACCTCCCACAACCTCTAAATTTGGTGAATGGGCGCTGGCAAAGTTGGAGGAAGATCCACATTTTTATCGAAAAATTGTGTTCAGCGACATGGCTCATTTCTGGTTGAACGGATACGTTAACAAGCAAAATTGCCACATCTGGAGTGAAAACCAGCCACAAGCATTGCAAGAACTAAAGATGCATCCCGAAAAAGTCACTGTTTGGTGTGCATTATGGGTCGGTGGCATCATCGGGCCGTACTTCTTCGAAGACGACAATGGCCGCAACGTTACTGTGAATGGCGAGCGCTGTTGTGTGATGATTGACGACTTTTTGTTGCCCAAAATGGAAGAATTGGAGATGCCTGACATGTTTCAACAAGACGGTGCCACACGCCACACGGCACGCGAAACAATGGCCTAATTGAGAGCCGCCTTCGGTGAACAGTTTATCTCACGTTTGGGGCCCATCAATTGGCAGCCTAGATCGTGTGATTTAACGCCTTTGGATTATTTCTTGTGGGGTCATGTTAAGGCTCATGTCTACAGGGATAAACCAGCAACGACTGACTCTCTGGTCATGTTAGAGAGAGTGTGCCAAAATTGGACCTTACGGATGGACAATCTAAAGCGGAGCCGCGGACAACATTTGCATGAAATCATCTTCAAACAATAAATTATATCGATTCCAATAAAGATTTCATTGATTTCTTTCAAATTTTTTGTGTTGTTTTGAAAATCAAATGACTTTGCAACAAACCATTCACAGTTGAAAGAATCCTTGTTCATCTAAATCAAACTCAAAAACTGCGCAAATGATTTTGAAAATCCTTTCACACACAGAAAGCCAGATTGTCCCCCAGTTCCATGTAAAGTAGGCGTCATTAAGGCGGATTATAAATAAATGTGTGAATGATTTTCATCCAGCAGCCATCACTGGTCAACAGAAAAGATCCAATCCTGCTCTACATTGTCCGTTGGCACGTTTCACAATTCACCGTTCGAAAAATAAACGAATTGAGCTTCGAATTTCTGCATCACCCACTATACTCCCCAGACCTTTCACCAACCAACTATCATATTTTCAAACACTTCAATAATTTTCCCACCGGTAGAACCTTCGCCAATCAGGACCAGGCAAAAACGGCCTTCGCCGACTTCTTCGAATCCCGAGCACTTACTTTTTATGCTGACGAAATCAATTGACTTGTGTTACGTGGGCAAATGCGCACTGATTCAAGTGAATCCTATTTTGATTGAATTGAATTAGTATTTACCGAGATATAACAATAAAAAGTAGACTCATAAGAACCGACAAAACTCTGGAAACCTAATAAATTAATCATCATATTGAAAAGAGCTATGTCAGCGGATGTTCCTGCAATTCTGGAACCATTAGGCACCAGTCGAGATGATGGTAAACGACCAGATGGTATGTCTCTGAAAATACGGTAAACCTGTGGTATGGGATTTCACTTGCGTTGACACGGTCGCGGCTTCCCATCTAGTCGGAAGTTCGAAGTCTGCTGGAACTGCAGCATTGTCTGGCGAGAAATTGAAAAGAAAAAAAATACCAAAATCTTGGTAACAACTATCTGTTCCATCCAGTAGCGGTTGAAACTTTTGGTGTTTATGGCCCGGAGTCTCTGTTATTCGTTCACGAACTCGGAAGGAGAATAGGCCAAGCAACGAAAGATCACCGTTCTACCTCTTTTTTGATAGAATTAGAATTGCTATTCAACGTTGGCATGGCTGCTTGGTTCCTTGGAACTATTCCTCCTTCACATAATTTTAATGAGATCATGCATTGCTCTAATTTCAGTACGGAACTGAAATCTCTTCGAAACAAGCCGAGATATGTGGATATTCATCAGTCTCCTATCAAGGTTAATTCACAAGTGATTGATCCACCTTCTTCCCAGTGGAAGAGCTTCACGAAGCAAGAGTCGAATCAATCCCTCTACGAAACCCTTCATCACTTGGAATGATCGATCGCAGCTTGAGAAATGGGTCTTATAGAGATTCTGTGAAACATGTTCTTCCTTACGAATCAGAGAAGAAAATTGGATTGGATAATTTAAGAAACACTTGCTACATGAATAGCATTTTACAAGTGTTGTTCATGACGAAGAATTTCAAGAACGACGTTTTAATGATGTCAGAATGTCATCGTCATTTCATCCAGGTTTGGAGACCAGCTCCCCTACCCTTTTCGCTAATTGTTGGTCTTGAGAGGGACCAATGGGTTCATGACTGATTGGTGACGGCATGAAGTCCTTAGNTAGATCAAGATCTTCAGATGATGTGGTGCTGCAGGTTTTTCCGGGTTTTCCTGCAGCTGAAAAAGCAAATGCGCCACTGGAATCAATGAAGTCGCCCCGGAGCGGCAATTAATTTTTATTGTTGTTTTTATTTTTATCGTTTTTTTATAATTTCACAATGTTAATCATCATGCTTGCTTCTAATTTTCAGTTCATTCATAACTTTTGACTTAGGCTTGATTCACACTATGATGCCGTTCTCGGTCCGATCTCGCTCCGGTCTCGGTCTGTTCCCGATCCGGTAAAGTATTCTCAAACAAGAAATAATCAGAGTATTCTCACTATCGTATCGCTCTGATTCCGATCCGGCAACCGGTACCGGTTGATCAAAAAGAATATTTGACTGGAGCGAGATCGGACCTGTCATGACTTGTACCGACAGTGTGAATACGTTTTTGTTTCAACTCCAGTCTTTCTTCGGTTTGCAAGGAGACGTTACATTTTTCTTCTAGTCATGGCTAGTAATAAATCATGGAATTCTAAAAAAAATAAGTACTTTATTTGAGTTATTTATAACATTTGATCATAAATAATAAATAGTCACACTATAGTTATTTTCGCCAACTATTTATAAGCGATATTTTCTGTTTAGTTTGTTTCTTGCGAGCCTGCGGTACATTATTCGTAAACGTATTGACAGGATCAATATTCAGTTCAACTTCTTCATTGACATCAGTTTCTTTCGACAGAGTTGTTTGTCCATCCACGAAAAGAAGTGTTCGTTTTTGAAATTTTGCACTCAATTTTTTTCAAAATCTTTTCGAATGTTCCTGAGTCCATTTGACAGCACTGTACAAACTGTTCTTCGTCGTCTATCAAATGACGATATAGCGTGTGATATTCGCCTTCTTCTTTTCCCGTTAGTAAACTGGGATGTATCCACATTCTTCTTCTTTTCATTTGTATTCTGTTCGTCCAAACTAATAGCTATCATCGCTAAATCTTCGATTGAAAAATTAAATGCCATTTTTTGGCGAGTACAATTTATCGAATTATTTGGAGAAACGTCCTATGTCGACCATGGATGGAGACAGACTGAGTGTCAGAGTTGCCAACCGTAACGGAATTCCGCTACCGTGGCGGAATTCACTCGACGGTAGCGGCGTAGCAGATTTGAACATAAAGTAGCGGAATTTTCTACAAATATTGAAAAAAATATGAAAAAAAGGGGCAGCGGACAGCACTCGAAGCTGACAGCTGACACTTGAATAATTGAATGCACAGTCAATACGTTATGGTCTTAGTAGCTGAGGCCATTATATGAAAAAGAAGAAGAATATTTTTGGATATTTTCATTCATATCATAAACCATATATTCTCCAATATATTGAAATTGAAAATCTCAACTGTCTCGACTATTATACATTATATGGAACAAATTACAGTGGAAATGGAAGATAGTTCATCTGATTGTAGCTTGAGCGAAAGAGCTACCGCAGTTGAAACTGACGGGAACGAACATTTTCAAAAAATACAAAAAGTCTCGAAAACAAAGTGATTCCAACTTTAAAGGTTGGATTAAACCTGTCGTGAATGATCGTTCCAGAGCTCAGTATGACTTGTTCACGTACGTATCGTGAACAAATTGATATTTATTTTTACTTTTCAAAATCATTATTTCAAGCTAAGAAATATTTGATTGAGACGATAGCTTTCAAAAGTTAACTGCTGTAAATTTAGAAAATTAGGGACCATCTACTGAGTTGCGCGGTTGAAAATTAGCATAATCCTGATTCCTGACATCAGTGACAGTTCAGTTTTGTGGTATCTGAACGGTACTACACAAACTACAAACTGTAAGTTTTGTGGTATCTAATTTTGAATAGAGCTCATGCGCGAACTTTATAGTTCATTCAGTTGGCAACACTGCTGAGTGTGGAACACAGCGAGATTTTATTGGACCGGCACCGGAGCGAAATCGGACCGAGAACGTCATCATAGTGTGGATCGAGCCTTATTTTTTTTGCATCTGAGAGTCCAGTTATCCTTTTTAATAAAAAAATCACGAGTTCCAAACATAATTTTCAATTTCGTACACTGGTTTTTCAATTGCATTCAAATATAACGACACATTCTCTTACGATTTTTCATTTTATATTCTTTAGTAGCCGATAGCCGGTCGGTTCGACCGCCGTGTTGGTCGGTAGTTCAAGCCCCAGGCTGAACGATCGATTTTCACTTGCTATCGTCCAACCCGTGTTAGGAATCACACGTTAATGTGAATCGAGCCTTATTTTTTGCATCTGAGAGTCCAGTTATCCTTTTTAATAAAAAACTCCCGAGTTCCAAACACAATTTTCAATTTCGAACACTGGTTTTTCAATTGCATTAAAATATAACGACACATTCTCTTACGATTTTTCATTTCATATTCTTTAGTAGCCGATAGCCAGTCGGTTCGACCGCCGTGTTAGTCGGTAGTTCAAGCCCCAGGCTGAACGATCGATTTTCACTTGCTATCGTCCAACCCGTGTTAGGAATCACACGTTAAAAGGTAAGACCTCGTCAGTCCTTAGCTCGCACAAGCTTTGACTTCTGAGGGTTGTCGTTCGTAGGAGTGTGGCAACTGGTTAACGGAAAAACAGATTTCAGTATATTCACTTGATTAGTGCCGGGACATGGTTCCTGCACAAAAACCTTGATTTATCGATATTTATGTGAAAAAATAAAACAACTTCCATACAGAAATAAAACTTTAATAGGAAAGGTGTTAAAATAGCCTAACCAAGACAACAATCGGTAGCAGATGCTCAGTCTAAGATACAAGCGAAAAACATAAAACAAATCACCGGCCACGAGAGTTAATCAACCAGCATAATATCAAAAAAATCAAGAGACAGAACATAGATCAACTGCGTATATTAATCCAAGGGCAAAATTAAGTGTGTTGAAACAATAATCAAGTGGAATAGTGTGTTAATCTAGTAATTTTCATCATTATCGTCATCATCATCCTCGAGGAAAAAGTTTGCTGTCGGCTACATCCAGATTCTTAAAGGAATTGGTATCATAATACTTGATATTTTTAATGATAAAAACTGAAATGAAACAAATGAAATGGGGCCAGTTTAATATCAATCGTTGAGGGGTAAGAATGGGTATACTTTAAACAAGTTTTGTGCCAAAGCCATTATCCGGAGATACTCCTCAGCAATGACACTTTCACCGGGTCTCACTGAGTATTCAACAACTAAATTGAATTCAAACATTCACCCCCCTTTTAACAAAACTATAATTGTGAACAATTTTGAGTACTTCAATGTATATTTTTGAGGTGCAAGAGGAACAGAAAAACGAGAATTTGACTGACACTGTCGTGCTAAAACGTAATGACTTAATGTCTCCCTTAGTAGACCTACTTATTAACTGCAGCAAGATGCGGGATTGGGGTCTTTTCCCGATCGTTTCGTCACGTTGATCCTAGTGAATTCTTCGGCGATGGTCGGGTGGATGCCGACAGTGTTCATGAGCACCTGAACTGTCAAGTTAAGCCTGGAAAAAAATTATGATGTAGAGGTGAATTCTCATTTTGAATTCTCTTCCAGTCAACTCAAAGATATATAGTTGAACAAAAAGAGACCTACCAACAGGAAATTATTTTTCGAAAACTGTATAGTTTCACAGTTTTACAAAAAAATTAAGATACGAAATTGAAAATAATTCCACGTTAACGATTCATGTGTCTTCATTATCAGAAATTCACTACTTCAAGGTTCATGATTTTCGACTCAAATAAATTATATAGTTGAATGAAAATATATACACAGACCAAAAATATATTGTTTAATAGTTATTTATGTATCAAGGGAATTAGGAGAGCCTTAATTACCGATGGCAAAGTTTGCGTCCCGAGGGCCTCTGGCCCGAGGGACAGCAATTGCCTGAGGTTATTAAGGCTCATTAATTCCCGTGGTACATAGATAATTTTATTTCTGACCGATTTCAATAAAATTTTGTTCATTTTTGAAACGGAAAAATGTACCAATTCATTACCTTCCCGGTATATTTGAATCAGGTACCGTTGATTATAGTAGAGTTTTCTTGTTGCTAGGTTGTTGCTATGTTACTTGTTTATAAACAGAACTTTGTTATCAAGCTGTGTTTGCGGTGAAAACGTGTTTTCTACCCCAAATATAATGGAGGATATTTTGAAAAAAGCTGAACAAGCAAGAGANTGTGAATTAGAAACAAATCCCTTTAAAAATTAAAACCCAACATTTGAAACATCAATTTGAATACTTTTCGAAGTGAATTTGAAAAACTCATGAATTAAACTCAACTTTATTTTGTTCAAACTTGCTTTTGCTGTAATAACCCAAATTGAGGAACATTCACCATTCATTGAGAATTTATTTTGAACATTCTCAATCAAATCGATATTTACATTATAGTATGGGTCCAATGTAACCTAACAATATTCAAGAATGGATCTTACAAAAGCACAATATAAAATCTTTTTTGTTTCAATTTAAAAATCAGTATGGCTTTATTTTTTATTATTAAGTGAATGAAGGTTTGAGGAAGTATTTTTTTGTGTTGGAGTATTTTTTTGTTGGCATCACTGTACTGATACTGTACTGGAGTCGGCTGAAAACTAGAAGGAGTGGATTCTTGCATCATTTTGAGATAATCTATGAAATACCACTGTTAAATGAAAGAACATACTGATCAGTACCAAGTGAGAAGAAAGTGGATCTTTCACAGCTGACAACTTATGAATGGAGAACACGGGCAAAACAGTTACAGAAAAAAATTCGACAAACACTGACCAGCTTTCGTTGTTTGAAATATTTCATTGTTATCAACATATTCGCTGTGAACAGTTTCGCTAGACCATTTTCTGAATTTAAAATAAATTGGTAATAACTAGGTCGACTTACTTAATTGCAGCAGCAAATCCCTGAATGATTTCTCCGGCGTTCGGTCCAATGAAGTGCATTCCCAAAACTTTCTGATCGCCTTCTCTTAGAGCTACTACCTTGAGGTAACAATGTGAAATGTTCCTTTGAGGAATGAAAAATTCAGTGGGTTTGTAGTAACCATGGTAGATTTCCAAGTTATCGGCACCGTACTTTTCCGTGGCTGCTTCTTCGCTCAGACCTATGAAAAGTACAGATATGTTATGTAAAGATGATTTCTTTGAGGTAGAAAGCTTGGCATTGATCCGAGTGAAGTTTTTGCCAAAAGAGTTGATGATCATTTCGCTATTTGAAAAATATTTTTGGTCGGATTTACGTTTTGCTTTTCTACTTCTCCTTTTTCAAACGAAATAAATGTGGAAACTTCCAAACCATAGAAAAATAAAATGACTTCAAAATAAACTCTTCGCAAAACGGGCTAAATCATTCACAAAAGTTTCTTTCAGGAACAACTACTTTCACATGATATGAATTACAAGAGAGAGAGTCCTTATGACACAGTTACTTTCATATTAACATTGAATTACATGGGAATCACTTCTTTCCATCTTGACATTGATTTCATTCTCCCTTTCTTCGAAAATTTTCAACACCTGAAAAGTCGCGGGGAAGTACAGAATGCCAACAAGATCCCCGGATTTCACACCTCTAGATTTTTTCCTTCAGGAATGTCTGGAGTCAAAAATATCCGCCACTGATAGCTAAACAAGAGAATATTTGGAACGCAGATGTTTTCCTTTAGGAATTTCTGGAGTCAAAAATATCCGCCACTGATAGCTAAACAATAGAAGATTTGGAACGCAGAATATGAGAAGCATGTAAAGAAAGGGGAGAACAGACTTTTATCATTGTGACAGGAGCTATTAATAATACTCCTCCACTTCGTTGTCAAAATTGTCAACACTCAATAGTATAATTTTTGGAGTTTTGAAAAAGTGTTTTTATTGAAATATGATAATTTCTTTCAACCAAGAGCAATATTTCTGTTTTTGGTTGACTTTGAAATGACGAAAATGTCACTTTTCAAACGTCTAAATTTCGAAAGCAATGGAATTCGGAAATGAGGTATTTGAGAAAAAAAAAGTTGAGAATTATGAGCAGATTTTGAGAATCAAATAATATACCAGGAGTTCTATGTGAAAAAAGAATCCAAGATGGCCCAAGGCCGTCATTTTGAAACTTTAAGCTGTCGTGTTCCATAAAAAAGTAGCTCGTCTCCTGTTTAAACCTTACAAATTTCGTTGACATATATCAGATGGTTGGAAAATTAATAAAGGAAGAACGAACTTCTGATGTGTACTGTATAATTGACACTTCACTTATCATTCAATCCACTGCCAATTCATTTTCTTCATCCCAGGTCAGAATAATGTCAAAACAAGCACTATTCCCAACCATCACAAATGCAATAGCGTTTTCACACACTCTGCTAATTAGTGACTTTTTTGCTGGTATCTTTTTGGCAACACTGTTTTTGACAGATCACGCGTGAATCGTGTCTTGCGTCATTGTCAAACGTGTTCAGTTGTTTTGTCTATAATTTAACCACGAATTGACTTACGAATGAACAACGCTTGCAAATTATTGGTTATTGGTTATTGGTACTTCTTCGAAAACGACAATGACCGCAACGTTGGACATGCCTGACATGTTTTAACAAGACGGTGCCACATGCCACACGGCACGCGAAACAATAGCCCAATTAAGAGACGCCTTCAGTGAACAGTTTATCTCACGTTTGGAGATCGTCAATTGGCCGCCCAGATCGTGTAATTTAATGCCTTTGAATTATTTCTTGTGGGGTCATGTTAAGGCTCATGTCTACAGGAATAAACCAGCAACGACTGACGCTCTGGAAGCCAATATTGAAGCATTTATATATGAAGAACCGATCGATATGTTAGAGAGAGTGTGCCAAAGGGCATGAAATCATCTTCAATCAATAAATTATATTGATCGTTCTATACATTCCAATAAAGATTTCATTCAATTTTGTGTTGTTTAGAAAATCAAATCCTATACCTCTTAAATCACCCATTATTATTTTTGCTATTGTTTTTTTCTATTTTTCCGCCTTTCTTTAACATAACTTCTGTTTCTACTTTATTTCAAATTAAATGTATCCAATCATAAAAGGAAGAATCTCAAAATTATTCCTTGTTTGTAAATGCTATACAGTTTTGTTATTTTGGTGAAGGAAATTTCAGAAAAGTTCATGAATATCATCCTTTGTTTTCCTTTCCTTACTTGTATTTATAATGTACAAAAAAAATGTATAAGGCGAGAGAATAATTATCAATTGAAATGAAAATAAAATGGTTTATCATCAAATCGTTAGTCAAAAATGTTCTAAATTAACTTACCCACGCAACCATATTCCAAAGGACTGAATACAGTCGTAGCTACGTTCTCGTAATCCATGTTTACAGTCGAATCTCCGAATAACCTACGGGCTAACAATCGTCCTGCATGAATAGCAACAGGAGTGAGTTCTGGCTTTTTCTGAAAAGAATAATCCATAGTTTGTTCAAATTCGAGATTTCAGAAATTTTTATATTCTCGGTTAGAAAAAACATTACAACATACGAGGTAGTTTAAGAAAATACCGGAAATTTTTGTCTACAATATTGTTGAAGCCTTCATTGGATATCATGTACTTGTGCCAGCGTTTCTTTCAATCCTCAAAACACTTTTGAAACTCGATCTTTGGGATAGGTTAGATTAGGTTAGGTCCAAAGTGAGTGGGTCTATTCAACCCTCCACCGCAACCCGCAAGGGTTTATTGTGGCTCACACCTACTCAAACACGACCAAATACACCCAGCTCCTCAACGAAGCCGATTTGTTTGTATGTATCTAGAACGTTCCGTTGGGATGTCATTCAGTTAGGGAATAACAGAACCACAAGTGATTCTGTCATTCCCGTATCCAGCGGGGCTACGTGGAAGCAGGTTTGCTCAACCCCCATATCCCAAACCAATGCACTCGCCAAAAACAGCATGCACAGTGGTTCAGGCAGTGAAAGATGAACAAGGATAGCCAACCCGGTCTTTGGGATAACCTCTAGCTCTTTCAGAGATGCGCTTTCGATGTCATATATGCTGGTGAAACGACGGCCCTTTAAGATTCTCTCTCTATTTGCAGATAGTCACACAGAGTCAGAATGTGGAGGCCGCAGTATCGTCACAGTATTTTTTTTGGCCAAAAATACGCGAACAAGCAGTTGAGTGTGAGCAGGTGCATTATCGAGGTGCAAGAGCCATGAATTGTTTTGTAAAAAGCATCCAGGAGTTTTTTTTTCGAAAACTGCATGGATAGTACTCTTTATTGACCATTTGACCTTGTGGCATGAACTGATGATACACTATTCCATCAAAATCGAAGAACATAGTGCGTCAGAACGCACTTCTTCCAGCTTTTATTGGTTCGGCGAGCCAAAATGCCTCCACTAGGACGATTGAGCCTTACTTTTGACGTAATATCCGTCAACTCACGTTTCGTCACTTGGCATTTCACACTTTTCAGTAATTTTTGACTTCATTTAGTGACTCCTGAGCAACTTCCATTCGCCGTTGTTTCTCTAATTGTGATTCTGCCATCGTTGATAACAATTTCTATCATTTCATTCATTCATCACGCAAAATTGATACAAATTCTTTGATCAATGTCTTAACAAACGAAAATCCTAAAAAGTGGTCCAACCTGAGTGACTGCCACAGAAAAAAAATGTATATGCTTCAGGGGCATGTATACCGACATAAAAAAACGGATATCGGACTCTCCAGACCTGTACCTAGTGAAGATTTTGACTGTATCATTTCACAGAGATTATAACAACATCTACTTACATATAAAACATCTCCTACGGCGTAAATATGGGGAACATTGGTCTGTTCGTTAATGGCATCAATTTTCTCACCGTCACCGGCAACTTTGACACCAGCCTTCGCCAAGTCGAGTTCCCGAGTCAAAGCTCTTCTTCCTATAGCGAAGAGGACCGTATCGAAAACATCATTGAACTCTTCCTTTTGGGCGTTTACCCAAGTAACCTTCAATTTGCCGTCGTCGAGTTTTTCAACGGCTTTCGGAAGGCACCTGAAAAAATACATAGATTTTTTTTCCGAACTCTGTATGTTTGAAAAAAATATATTTTAGAAATATGAAAGACCACTATAAATTCAGCAGCACTATTCAGACGTTCATTAGATATCGAGTATTTTTGAATGTATTAATTTCCATATGCATTCAAAAGATCAGTACTGTTGAAAATCATGCCCTAAAGAAAATAACGCCTACCGCCACTGGTAGCCATAAACCAATTGTGACGTAGCTAAGAGCGCGCGAATTTCGTGGGTTTTTGAAATACGCCGAATGCTAGTTCGTGACACGTGAAATGATAGCAATAATAACATCCGAAACGAACACTATAATTATAATGAAAATTGAAATGAAGTAAGTAATTCATATACACAAAAAAATTAATTGTGCAATAAATGTTCGAATTGGAATCTATTTGAAAATAAATTATCTCTTCCCTACACAAAAAACCTTTCTTCCATTCACTAACTTCTGTGTCTTTATGATCAGATTCCTAACATCGGACTCAGCAGAAAATTCCATCATTACCACTTATTTCCTCTTTCTGACAAAAGCATCTGTCTCTCCTACTTTCTCTTGTCACAAATCATATCTAGAATACAGGCTGATTCACGGTGGATGGCACATTAGACGTTTCTGGTGAACCAGACAACGGATCACTTTGAAAATTTAATGGAGGGCATATTCGACTCACCAATTATGAACAACGGACTGGGAAAAAATCAATTCTTTTTTGTTTTTGACAAAAGAACTTACTTGTGCAGGAACTTCACTCCTTTATCTTGCATTTCCGCAGCGATAACTTCCGCCATTTGTTGATCAAAACCTCTTAAGACGACGGACCTCACCATGATGGTTGCATCGTAACCCAAACCTCTCAAGAAACCGGCGCATTCCAGTCCAATATCTGATAGTGCGTTAAGAAATTTGCGGAACATAAAAATAAAAATAAATACATGTCTGAACCTTCATTAATAATTTCGGCGAGAATGTTTGCGGCAAACGACGCACACATACATTTTTAGCACAGTCCTCTAAACTATTTTTACATGGTTCAGCTCTCATATTAGGGAAGAAAAAACAATTTGTTGAAACACAAGAAAAACTTGTTCGAAGGTGCTTTCAAAAAAATTGTTCTACAGCGCCATCTAGTGGCGATAGCCTAAAAACCTCTATGAAAAAATACTTATACATGTCAAGTTTCATCACGATCGGTTGAGCGATGTAGAAGGTTATCACTTACCAACCAACCAAGAAAACCAACCATCCAACCAACAAACCAACCAACATCCATCTTTATATAAGGGATTACTTATATATGTCAAGTTTCATCACGATCGGTTGAGCGATGTAGAAGTTTATCACTTACCAACCAACAAACCAACCAACCAACCAACCAACAAACCAACCAACCAACCAACCAACATCCATCTTTATATAAGGGATTACTTGTACATGTCAAGTTTCATCACGATCGGTTGAGCGATGTAAAAGTTTATCACTTACCAACCAACCAGCCAACCAACAAACCAACCAACCAACCAATGAACAAACCAACCAACATCCATCTTTATATAAGGGATAACTTATACATGTCAAGTTTCATCACAATCGGTTGAGCGATGTAGAAGTTTATCACTTACCAAACAATCAACAAACATCCATTTTTATATATATTATTTGAAATTCTTGTGAGCGTCAATGGCAAGAGTGGTTTGAAACTCTGGCCATCGAAGCGCACAAGAAACCCCGAGTCTGGTTGAGATACGTTGACGATACCTTCATAATATGGAACCATGGGAATACTGAACTAGACGCCTTCCTGAAACACAGCAAAAGCGTAAGACCTTTCATCACTTTAACAATGGAAAAGGAAGTCCACAACGAATTGCCATTCTTGGACGTATTGGTGAAGAGGACCGACATTAAGTGGGAAACATCTTAATACCGAAAACCCACTCAAACGGGACAGTATCTTGCGATTCCAAGGATTGCATTCACCGGATACCCTGTGAATCCGAAAAATTCTATATCGCTGAAACTAAGAGAGAAATGAAACTTTCACTTTCAGTTTGTTTTATTTTTTACTTGTATTTTATTTCACTGCAGTTTCATATCAAGAGTTTTTTTGCTTGATATAATTATTTTCAGCTATCCCTTTCAATTTTTCATTTGTATTGGTTCTTTTAGAGATTTCAAATCATTTTATATAATGTTACACAATGGAAGTCCGAAATAATGAAATTCACAGGAAAAATTATCACAGACTGAAGACATCTTCTAGGTTGTCCCGCAAGGTTCAATATTGGGCCTACACGCATCCGTGGGAGCAATCAATCACTCATTTCTAACTGATCCGTTCCAATCATTCTACATCTCTCATTCCGTCACTAGCAAAAACTATTTGAAAAAAAGTTGAAACACTTTTAACCGATCATATTATTGTAAACCTCGATAATAGGATAAGTTCCAAACATTTTGGATTTCAGCAAAACATAAATGCCCACGGTGCCATATTTTCATTTTTATATGATGTGTAAGCATAAATAGTTCAAGTCTAACCCATCAGATAGAAGTCAAAGGGTCAGCGATTCCTTAAATCTGTATTCCTAATTTCATGCTACAGTCATTCGCAAGCTTTGTTACAAATCTAGCGCACAGATCCAAACGTCAGCATCAATCCACTCGTTCAGCTAGTAACAATCAAATTGCAGATCTACAAATGTTACAAGAATACCAATTTCTCAGAAATCGTATGCCTGTGCATACTTTGCCATACAATCTGAGACAGAACATGATAATTTGATGCAATAACAAGATAATATATGTATGTGTGATTTCGGTGCAGGTATCTTTAGTATCCTAATAATTTCATTCATTTTTTTCTATCAGTAGATTTCAAAACTGAAACTTTTTTAAACAATGGAAATCTAAACCTTCAAAAGTGGAAAAATAGTGACACTGAAAAACTCGGCCGCCACAGCCTTAATCATTTTGTTATAAACCGTCAACATTCATCAAGAAACATTTGTCAACTACATTCAAGTAACAAACACTACCATATTATTATTATCATATAAATCACTGAACCAGTATGCCGAGTTACGTCGCCAATTTTCATTAGGTGAGATTTGGAAATTTAGAAGGTTGTGATTCTAACCACGAAGCTCAAAACTTATCTGCTTATAAAAAAGGATACATCCAGCCCCGACCACCAGTGTTTTGCCAGGTTCGTTCGGCAAACTAAAGATGTCGTCACTGCTGATGCCGTATTCTATTGCTCCAGGTATATCGGGGTAGCGCGGTCTACCTCCAACAGCTATCAGGAAATATTTTGCCGTCAGGAGGCGTTCTCCTTGCTTCGTCACCGTCTGCACAGTGAAGGGGTCTTTGAATACGCCTACGCCGTTGATATACTCTACTTTCCTGGAAAAAAAGCAGTGTTAAAATCGTTCAAGTTGATACAAATGACTAACATGTACTATAAGGCTAGTTAACTGCAAGAGGTCAATTGATTGTCTAACTCAGGGGTCTCCAAACTACGGCCCGCGGGCCAAATCCGGCCCGCCAGTGTCATCAATCCGGCCCGCGACAGCCAATGATTTACTGTCATCAATCTGGCCCGCGACAGCCAATGATTTTACCTAATTGTTGTTACTATTGCTGTGACAAGTTGAAGAAGAAAACACAGAATGATAATTACCCGGTTTTATTTACTTGCAAGGTAAAATTTAACGACAGAAATGATGACAAAGAAACCTTAACTTAAGTATCTAAGTTTAAGCATATTGATAACTAACAAATAATTGAAATGAATCACAGTAAAACAAAAACACTAATGAGATTCATCTAATTATGATTTTCCACCGACAATACTTTGTAGTTGTGGATCAATTTTACTTGTACCAATTATTATCAAAAGAGATTTAAGATGCTCATCGGTTAACTGAGATCTGTAAACATTCTTTGTGTACTTCATCTTGGAAAACGTTTTCTCACACAAGTA